AGGCGCGTGACTCTCCAGTGTGGTCCTGGGTGCCCCCTGCCGTCTGTGAGCAGGTGGCGTCACAGCCCTCTGATAGTCCCTGGCGAGGGGTCCTGGGCTGGTTCTGGCTGGCAGGTGTTCCAGGTGGCCGTGCCGTGATGGGGTTTGGGCGGGACAGTGGCCTGGGCTGTAGGCCAGGGCTGGGGCCAGGCCAGCAGAAGGGGCTTGATGGGCTAGAGGCATGCCTGTTAGAGCTTCCAGCACATTCTACATGGAACAGATGCTTACAGATTTCCAAAAAGGTTGAGTCCAAACCTTTGCAGAAATTGGAGCCTGTGAGCGTCTTTTAGTTTCTCTGCATTTAAATCTAGTTAGTAACTTTTTAGCCAACCCTGCAGAAGGAAGGGTGATGTTCCTTCTTTTATAAGAATTGGGCTAGTATGTTGGACATTTCCGTTTCATGGTTAGGACAAAATCAGGCCATGAATACTGACAACTGACTTGTCTTTTTCTTCTGTCTTTTTCCATGACTTTACTGCCTCGTCTTGATTTATAAGCAAAACCTGGAAAAGCTACAAAAATAAATGTTTTGTGGTTTATCTAGAAATAATATGGAAAATATTGCTGTTATTTTTGGTGAAGAAAATAAATTTTGTATAGTTTATTTCAATCTAAATAAAATGTGAATTTTGTTTAAAGTTCAGGTACATTATTTTTAGTATGATCAAAACATTCTGTGGTAAATTCTCTTCAAAAATATTTGATAATCAGCTTCACAATTGTATGCAGTTTACTACTTGGGGTATAGAAAAAGACATTTAATTAAGAAATTACTAAATGTAAGGTTTACCCAACTGATTTTTTAAAAATATTATATTATGTATGGGCCCTCATATACATTGTCAGGGTTTGTGTTTGTTGCTGGCTAAAATGCAAATGAATGAATTTAATTGCAAAAAAAAAAAAAGAACTGGGCTAAATGTCTGTTAATTGGGTATAGATGGGAGTCTTCAAGGTCATTCAGGCAACAGGTTTCAGACATTTTTGGAACTGTGAGTTATTAAATAGCATCTACCCATGGGGAGACGGGGGGAGCAGGCCCAGCCAGGGAGAGGCAGGCAGGGGCCCAGCAGGTGCCCGCTGGACTTCTGGCACCTGGACGGCTTGCGGAACAGGTGGCCAGTCTTGTCCCCGTCCTACAGGTCTGGGAAGTCGGAGGTCATGGACAGAAGCACACACTCCCCCGGGGTGGTTTGGAGTAGCTGGCGTTATTACGTGATGGAGCCGCAGGTTCAGAGCCTTCCTTCATGCCGCACACACGTTTATCGGGCACTGACTGTTTGCAGTGCTCATGCCTGGTGGGGAGACGTAAAGATGGCTGGGACTCAGTCTCTCCTATGGAGGACTCGCCATCCAGCCAGGGAGACGGATGTGTGAATGGCCACCAGCACAGTGGCACGCAGGGGATGTGCAGCAGCCGTTTGCAAACGCAGAAGGGACGGATTCGTTCTCCTGGACGCGTGGTAGGGAAGGCCAGCCCAGGGCCTGGTGCCTTGCCGGCTTTGCCATTTATTCAACAAATATTCCTCGCGCACCTCCCGCGTGTGGCCTCCGGGATGCAGAAGGGACGAAGATGGTGACACTGCCCAGGAAGGAGCGCCGAGCACACGTGGGTCGGGGGTCACAGGAGCTGAGAGGGGGACAGGGCATGGGGAAGGGCAGGGGGCAGGTGTCCCGGCCACCACGTGAGGCTTCTCTGAAGAGGGGGTGCTTCAGCCGGGAGCTGAGCGGAGTGGGGGTCCCGCCCAGATGGCAGACTAGGCGTGTAGAGCAGGGCTGGGCAGGGGGATGGCGGGACGGGGCAGAAGGCAGCCCCGGAGATGGCTCAGCAGGCACACGCCCACGTGCACGAGCACCACGGTGTCCTGCCGAGTGTGACATTGTCAGGACGTCACGTGCCGTGGCAAGGCATACTCAGCGGGAAGGCAAATACGGTGCCCTCCCTGAGTCTGAATGCACCAGGGAAGGGCAGGAGCAAAGCCGGCCCAAAAGTCACGCTTGTGTCAGAAAGATTTGCAGAGTGTGCCTGCACGGCACGCGCTGGAGCGTCTCCACGCCAGAGACAAAACGGCGAGAAGTCCGCACGTCTCGCTCGGGAGAAGCTGGGAGCCGGAGCGTCTCCTCCCGTGCCATCCCTGACGCCAGAGCCAGCCTGGGGACGGGCCGCCGTGTGCACCGGCCCAGAGCTGGGTTGGCAACTCACTCTGAACGTGCTGTCTCTGTTTTGTCAAGAAAAAAAAAATCACTTGCAGGTCTGCAAGGCAGAGCTCCACCCAAGGTGACAGATGCGGGTGGGGAACTCTGTAAAGGAGGAGGGCCCGTGTGGGATGTGGACCACACCCTCCTGAGGGTGCAGCGGCCAGGTAGCTCAGGGAGGCCACTGGGGCGCGGGGTCCGCAGCCACCATCGCTCAAGGGAAGCCGAGCTCCCCGGAGCACAACCGCCCAGAGCTGTCATTCAATCCTCCTGCGTGTCACCAAGTCCAGGAAATGAAAATCTAATTTGCTTTAAAACTCAACTCTGCTGCCATGGGTATCTTAACTTCACATGCAGTATTTCTCTGTAGTTCTACATTATTGGGCCTGTAACTAAATGTCTGCTTTAGTTACTTGATGTTCTTTTGCAAAAGAACAGAAGAAGTGTGAAGGATGCAGGCCGATGAGACATCGCGTTGTCCGCACGCTTCTGCAGCAAAAGGCTGAACCTTCTGAAAGGTCTCGACCTGACCGGGTGGCTTTCTCCCTGCCGAGAGCCGTCTGCAGCCCCCAGGGCGTCTCCCGTTGCCCGGGTGCTTTCCTGCAGAGGCAGACCTTGGCGCTCTGCCCCTGTCCTGAGAATTGCGTGTGTCGGGGGGAGCTCCCTCCCCGTGCGGGCCCAGGTGCACATCCCCGGGGTGTCCGCCTGTCACTCGGGTGCGAGGGGGCCGCCCCGGGCTCCCACGGCACCTGATTTTCCTCCGAGTGAGGTTCTGTGCTTCGGTTTTGCTCTCCTCCTGGACCTCCCCGGTGGGTCACCTGTCCCCTGCTGGTGACCTCACGTAGGATGCGTGAGGGAACCGAGAAGAGCGAGGCTGAGAGGGGAAGCAGCTAGCTGGACGGTTCAAAAGGCCAGCCGGGCACGCACGGCTTGGATGGCTTTATTTTTCTCTCGCTACCAGAAGACTCGGGAAGCAACACGGAAAATACGAAATACATTCACCGGCTTTCTCATCTCTTAAGCAGTTTGACCCAACTGGGCTACCCCTGGCTGCAGAGCTGGGACATCTGGGCCCCGTGCCTGTCTCGGGCCACCGTGGACCCGGCTGTTTCTTGGTGCTGGGCTGAGCCCTGGTGACGCCCAGCCTGCAGGTGAGAGGAAAGGCTGCAGCTGCAGGTCTAGCCGAGGCGAAGGCCACGTCCGAGCCCCGTGCTGCCCGCCGGGGTGGGCTCCTTACGGCGCCTCCAGACGCTTCCTCTCTGGGGGGAGTGGGTTCAGCCAAAAGATCAAAGAGGAAACTTAGAAGGACACGTGATACTGGCCAGGCATCCCCCGAGGGGTGCACCCCTGTGGCTTTGTTTTCCACGTAGCTGGCTTCGGCCTGCTGGGAGACTGCGCGGAGTCGCACAGCACCTTGCGACAGAGGCCGGCTTCCAGCGCTGGACGTTTACAAAGAGACGGGAGCCAAGGAAGTGCCGTGAACTTCAGCTCCCTGACCGGGTCATAGGAGTGCCATGAATCAGGCCAGACAAATTCCCATGGTGTCAGTCACTCGGCTGGGTTTCTGGGGGTCATGGCTCTGTGTGCATTTCTCCTCTGTCCCCAAGTACCGAGAAAATAAATAGATGGAAAGGTTACTTCACAGATCCTTGGCAGAGACCCCTGGAAAGCCCAGCGCTATCGTGAGTGAAAGTTTGCTGCGGAAGATTCTGATGCAATAATAGAGGGAAAATAAATAAGGCCAGGCAGCCGGCCCCCAGGGGCTCTGCACTCTGCAGGGCTGAGGAGGGACGGCAGGACGCAGGGGCCTGAGGCCACATGGCCCCCAGCCCAGGGTTCAAGTCCACCCCACTTACTACTAGCTGCAGATGTGGGGGACCCCGGCAGAAACAAAATTCTGTATCGATGAGCTGTGCTTGTTAGAAACACACAGCTCACCGACCACCGCCCCCTTGGGTGGCTGCAGCCGGGTGGCCACATGGCCGCTGGGAGGTTCAGTGATGGTTGAACTTCACTAGAGTGGAATCAAGGCAGGGTCTTCCGTGGGCAATAGGGGACTCCCAGTGGCTCAGAACTTCCCTTTCTCTTAAGAATTTTGCAGTTGGGAAGAGCAAAACCTAAGGAAAAGTAACTACAAATATCTCATGAACTGCCTCCAAAGGAGACGTCCAGCTCATGGTGTTCCCGTCTGGGTATCTCCTTCTACTTTCAAGGATTGTTCGCTCAGTTATTAAGCGCCACTGGTGTGCCAGGTTGAGGGTGCAGTGATGGTGCAGACACAAAGCCCCCCCCGCCTTGGGGACAGTCCCCAACATGACAGAAACTCAGAGGGAAAGAAGGAAAACCTCTCAGAGCATGCTACCAAAACCCATCAAGAACAGGAAAAAAAATCTATCTCATTAGGAGCTCAAATTCTAGGTAAGTTATGAGAAAAATAAATTCAGCAATATTTCAAAAGCACAGGGTGCCGGGAACAAGGAAGGTTTACTTATGGAGTGTAAGGGTAGGACCTTCAGACACTTCCGCCAGGTTTTAACAGACTTTGGCGATATGCGGCAGAAGCGTTTTAGACTGTTCAGATTCTTTGACTCGTGGGTGTAATTCAGCACATCTGTAGTCAAAAAAGAAAATTAATGGAATCATCTCGATAGGTACCGAAAATGCATTTGCGAAAAGTTTAACATGTTTCTGATATTAAAATCTCTTTTTCTGATATTTAAAATCTTAATAAGCTATAATAAAAGGATTCTTCCTTACCTTCATAGAGCCGGATCGCATCTATTCCGGAAGCTGATGGAACACTCAAGCCATTTGCATATGAGTCAGTAGGATTCTCGCCAACATACTGTTTTGTAACATTATTTTGGACTTCGAAAATGATTCTATGAAACAATGAAGATAAATAGACCTAAGGCTATATGGGTAAGCGGAAGATACAAGTATCTTTATTTGTAGATAATACAGTTGCCTGTGAGGAACTTACACCCCCGCCCCATCACCGAAAAGGAAACTGTTTCAAAATCATCAGAACTCATGAGACAGTTCAGAACAGAGGAGGCTGATTACTAAGTGAAGATAATTTTTTAAAGACATTCTCACACACACTAGCAATAACCGATTATATCGTACGAAACGAGAAGACGCCGCTCACAAACACAGAATGTACGTGCGACCTGGTATCTGCGTGGTGAGACACGTGGAGGACTTTTCTGAGGAGGAATCTCCACCTGGGAAATCCACTAGAGTATCTTTTTGAAAGAGGAGCTCTGTGCACGAGGGGCTGTTTGGGAACACATGGGATTGTGAACATGTCATTTCTTTCCCAAGTTAACTCATATATTTAATAAAATTTTTCATGCAACAAAATTAGTCTCAGTTGCACATGGAAGAGGAAGACAGTAGACGCGTCCAAGAAATTCACGAGAGCGTGGGGAGGGGGGCTCTTCCGCCGCCAGAGAGGGTGTTTCAGAACATCAGCGTTGGGGTCACCAGGGCACACGTTGGGGACCAGACAGAAAGTGGGATGACCCCGGGGACAGCCCTGACATCTTTCCCACTCAGGCACAGGGTGGAGGGGACGGTGCCTGTGAGCAGGGGCAGGGTGGGCCATTCAGAGCGTAGTTCCAGAAAGGCTGGTGTTGGGCAGGGCTACCCCGTCCCATGTCCCTGGCAATCCCGCAGCCGGAGCCTGGTCTCTGGGGGTCATGGCTCTGCGTGCATTTCTCCTCTGTCCCCAAGTACCGAGAAAATGAATAGATGGAAAGGTTGCTTCACAGACACTTGTCGTGATGACAGCCCCCACCGTCCACCTGCCGGAGTCTGTGCGGCGGGCAGCTCACCACGTTCGCCTTTCACAGTCGCCGTTACACTTTCTCTCCCCCCAACCCCCGTTTTCTAACCTAGAGTTAAATGGCAGCCGAGGGGTATAAAGCCCAGAGCGTCGGGAAAAGGACGAGGCAGCTCCTCGCCCGGCCCGGCAGGGCGTCCGGAGCTTGTCAAGGCCATGGGAACCCGCAGACTCGCTCTGCGTCCCGTCCTGGTGATCGTCAGGGTCCAGCCCGAGGGGACGCGGGTCCCTGTGCCCCCCTGCTGTCGGCTGACCCCGCGCAGCGCGGGCTGCGTCTTCCTCCAGGAGAAGCTGTGCTCCCGTGCCGCTTTGGAGTCTGTCCCCTCGGGAGATAACGCAGAGCGGACGCGCTTCTCCGGACCAGCAGCGACTGTGCAGGTCTAAACGGAAACCCCGGCTCCCGGCCGCCCGTGCCGGGTGGGGGCAAGTCGGGAGCTGTCCCCCGTGGGCCCCACTCTCAGCGGGAGTCCCCGTCTCCTCTCTCTGTAGCCGCTGCCTTCAGGAGCAACTTCTCCTTCTAGTGTTCTGTTAGATGTCAATGTCGGAGGTCGTGGTAATAACTTGTCTGTTGAACTTGCCCAGTGAGGGCGTGTAAACTTGCAGGAGGACTGAAACCCCCAAGTGATTAGAAATGAGACCATAATTTTAAAAAATTCTAGTTGTAAAATATCAAGCTGCAATGTGTGCTTTTTTTTTTTTTTTTTTTTTTTGAGACAGAATCTCACTCTGTTGCCCAGGCTAGAGTGAGTGCCGTGGCGTCAGCCTAGCTCACAGCAACCTCAGACTCCTGGGCTCAAGCGATCCTCCTGCCTCAGCCTCCTCAGTAGCTGGGACTACAGGCATGCGCCACCATGCCTGGCTAATTTTTTGTATATATATTTTTAGTTGGTCAATTAATTTCTTTCTATTGTTAGTAGAGATGAGGTCTTGCTCAGGCTGGTTTCAAACTCCTGACCTTGAGCAATCCGCCCGCCTCGGCCTCCCAGAGTGCTAGGATTACAGGCGTGAGCCACCATGCCCGACTGTAATGTGTGCTTTATACAGAGAAAGACTCTGGCAAACATGAACAGGCAAGAAGGGGCTGCCATGGCCATCATGGGAGGACCCAGGGTCCTGGCTGTCTCTGCACAGAGACCGTGCATCCCTCCGGGGTGGGGCCGACCTTCCGTGCCTGGGCCGTGCATGGTGGGGAGGTTTGGGTTGGTGCCCCCTCCGGACCAGCTCAGAAATCAGGGCTCTGTCGGCTGATGGGGGTGGGGCAGAACATCAGAAGCGATGGCCTGATTGTCAGATGACCGTCCCTGCCTGTTGGCCCAGGGCTGTCCTGGTGTCCTCCTGCTCTGCAAACAAGACTGTTAATGGTGCCCTTCCACTCCCCAGAAGTCTCACTTTACATGATGAATCGCATGGTCACCCTGTCTCGTAGACAAACGCCCTCCTATTGAGGCTACCTGGCCAACTGCCACACGCACCATTCGGCGAGACTCCCTCGTGGAGCTTTCTAAATTACCCCTGCCTGCCCTTCCCCACTGCCCCCGTTCCAACACCCCCCAGTAGGAAGGCATGTGCCAAAAATCACTGCCCTGGACCCCAGGGCTCTGGCGTTAGGTTGGCGGTGGGTACAGGGTCCAGTGCCGCCCTGGGTCAGGCACCGGCCCTGGGCCTCGGACGTGTGCAGCCGGCGGGACCCTGGAGAAGCTCCCTGGATATGGGGAGGGAGGGTCAGCCGTGCTGGGGTGGTGCAGGTCAGGGAGGACTTCCTAGAGGAGGCAGCACTGGCCAGGCCCCCAGAGCTGGAGAGAACATTCCACGAAGAGAGAGAAGCAGGGATGGTTCATGGGACTTTCATTTGTGGGGGGCCCGCTACGAGCACTGGGTAGGTGGGGTGTGATTCTGGGCCCAGAGGCGATGAACTCCCCGTGGAGAATCCATGACCTGTGGGCAGAGAAGGGACCTGGGACAGAGCCCTGGGCCACCAGCATTGATGACTATTAATACTCAATTAATGCTCACCATCAGCGTGAGCATTGATGAGCACGAGGCCATCGCCATGACACGCTGGCGCTCACCCCTCCCACAAGCCGGGCTGTGTGTGTGTATGTCATCCGATGGGGGAATCTCAGAAAGGCAGTCCCCCCATCTTGGTGCCCCTCACTACCCGTCCCCCACTCATTCATTCCTTCATTCGTTCACGCCCTCCGCCTGCCCGGGCACCAAGAGCGGCGTCCCCACAGCGCGGAGATCTCCTGGCAGGGCTCCTACCTGAGCTGGGGTCAGAGGGCGCTGCCCCCGGATAGGAGACGTGCATCGTCGTGGGGGTGCAGGGTCCCCGCCCCCGCGCTGGGCTGGGCTGGTGCCCCGGGCTGTGGGCCGTCTCTGCCCCCAGTCAGGTGTCTCCCGGTCTGCGGTGCTGCCCGGGGCCGGAGGGAGCTCGCGTGTGCGTTTGCCTGGGGAAGGAGACGTGTTCTGGAGGAGCCACCGGCCGCCGAGAGGAGCTCCGGGCCTCACAGGGGCTGCGGGAGGGGAAGGCGCCCCCACCGTGCACCCAGGCTTTCTACCCACGCGAGCCTGGGCGCAAAGCAGCTCCCTGAAGACAGGACTGCCCGTTTCTCGTCTCTCCCCATCTCTCTGTCTCTCTGAGTGTCTCTGTGTCTGTCTGTCTCTGTCGCCCCCACTGTCTTGTTTAGCATAGACCGAGTCAGGATGGGTAAGTCTGGGCCTCCCTGCCTCCCCCACCCCCTCTTCCTGGGGGGCTCTTCCCCACCCCACTCCCAGCAGCAGCCTGGGCCTCCCAGGCCCGAGGGGCACCGTCCTGGACACGCTCGCCCGTGCCGTTTTCCCGGGAGTGTGGGCGTCCCAGGCCTCCGTCCAGCGTTCTCGGTGCCTACCTGTGTTCCCCGCCCTCTCAGAACCACCGGGACCGCTAAGTAAGGTGGTGGCTGGAAAACAGATCAACACTTTTTTCCCACTTTTATGCTGCACTTTTATGCTGCAACCCGAACAGAAATGCAAAAGCCGCCTTGTGTCCCACGCTGTGCCAGGTTGCCCGGCCTCACAGCACAGACGGCCGTCCAGGAGCATGTGGGAATCTAATCTGGGGTAACCCAGACTCCTGGTGTGATCGTTGGGGCCTCCTCGCCCTGCCTGCCATTGGCCTCCCGGGTGGCAGCAGCTCCCAGTCCAGCTTAGCTTGCCTCTGTGCCCTGGCTTCCCGGCCAGGAGTTAATGATCTGTAAAAGCACTTAAATTCATGAGAAAACCTCCTTGAAAGGAGCAAATTTGCTTGTAACTTACAGATTCATTTTGTCTCCCGGCCAGGGAGCTTCCTGGGAGCCTGTCTGTTTGGAGTATTGGGAAGCGATGACTCGATTTTAAAAGTCCTCCAAGAACAGAAAGCTTCCTTTAACAAAATAAGGTTGCGCTTTCTGAGCTGCTCTGCCAGTAGGCGGGTGCAGTCCTGGCTGCTCAGAGCCACGAGCAGGTAGCTCTGGCTCAGGTGTGCACCCCCAGGATGGCTGGGGGCTCGGGGCAGCCACGATCAGGTGTGCAAATGCCTGAGCCCTCTGGGTTTGACGTCTCTTCACCTCCTTAACACCTCCGCCTCCAGCTCTGGGGAGACAGACGTGAACATTCCTGTGTGACTCTTCCCCCTGGGTTCTGTTTTTCTGCTAATTCTTTCAGAAAGCTGAGCAAGGCCTTTGCATTTCTGAACCTCCATCTTCTGCTGCGTGACTCACGAGGGCTGGAGGAGTTGGAGGAGAGCCGCAGTATTTATGTGGCTCTTGTTTTACTGCTCGGGTTGGGCGATGGTCCCTCCCTCCCGTGGACACCGGTAGCCCCTTGTGGGCTGTATATCCTCGCCGAGGAGCTCGGGGTCCCCGAGCGCGGGTGGGGGAGCCGGCCAGAGCCGCGCGGTGCTGCAGACGGGTGTCTTTGACCACATCGCTCATCTTTAAAATCCTCTGCTGATTTAAAATCCACTCGCGCTCGTTTCTGCAGCTGCTGGCCTCCAAGGAGCTGGGCTGGCTCGCCTGACATTGAACAGAAAGAATAAGGCAGAGAAAAAACAGAAAGCAAAGGGAGAAGGGACGGCAGACGCGAGAGCCCAGCCTCCCTCTCCCTGCCCCTTGATTCCAACATTCCAACAGAAGGAAAAGGATGGGGATTTTTTTTTTTTTTTGAGACAGAACCTCAATCTCCTGGGCTCAAGCAATCCTCCTGCCTCAGCCTCCTGAGTAGCTGGGACTACAGGCATGTGCCACCATGCGTGAGCGCTCAGGTCTCCCTGGAGGTACTGACACTCTCGGCCCTCGGGGCCATGTGACCCAGGAGCAGGTCTCCCTATTTTCCCCTGGAGAAGTGGGGTCCAGTGGGGGCTGAGACGTGGCCAAGGCCCCCCAGACAGCCAGTGGCAGAGGCGA